CTTAGGTCAAGCCTCAACATTTTTGGTGTATAGCAGGTCTTTCAGCACCTTCTCGAGTCATTTTGGCCAACCGAAATGTCATTTCGGTCGACCGATAGCTTTTGGGAATTAATTGCACAATAAAACTCACTTTCCAGTAGCTAAAAACACTGTTTGGGTTCATTTCGATTGACCGATTCTTTATTTTGGTCTACTGTGATACCCCCGGATTTCCGGATGCGGGTTGGCCAGGCCCACGCCCGATTACCCGAGGATATCAAACCAATTAGCAATAAACGAACACAGAATACAATTAAGGAAACAGGAATAAATAAAAATTTGTTGAAAAGAAACTAGAATGATAAACTAAATACTGAAACCTCACAATAAAATTAAATTAATAAAGAATTATTCTGATACATCCAAATTCTCCATTTCTAATACAACTCGGGAATCCATCTAGTGGACCCCTAATAAAATCATCACTGAGAAATGAACCACCGAAAAAGAATCCAATGCTAAACCATATAGGAACCGCCTACGTCGTCGGAAGAATGAGAAGTCGTCTCTGCTCAGCATGAACAAGATCTAAGACCTGGAACCATCCGTTACCTGAAAAATAATAGTGGGTCAGGCCTACGAACAAGTTCTATCCTAACTACAATCCAAACAGAGACCCGATACGCAGATACATCCTAGATGTCTCAACCATATCTATATAGTCCGTAAATAGATATATACATAAAACCACACTACAGGACTCTCACTAGACTATGCTGAGGGTCTCAACCTGAATAGAAGGCAACATGCAAAAACGCACCTGAGTGGGCATGACTACCTAAGCCTAACAGGGTATACCTCAACCAACATAGCTAGCTATGCATCCTACTACATATACGCTCCCTAACCGTCGACTATGAGACTCAAGCTCAAATCGCCGTACCATAATTATATATATAAAGTCCGATCCTATCCAACCATAAGAAATCCAGCTAGTCGTTCAGCTTGTTCAGTCGCACAGACTAACATAAATTAAGCGTATATACATCCCATCCAAATACAATGTTGAGCCGGTCAACTATTCGTCACCAAAACATAACATATAATTAGGATCTAAATGTTTTAATTAAATCCCTATCCTTCCTATTAACAGAAAATATAAACAACCATCTAATATGTCGTTCAACTGTTTTAGTTGACAGGACATGAAACCATGTAGGATTTAACTGTTTTAGTTAATCCATTCCGTATGTATGAATGGGTTGGAATTAGCGTTTTGATCTAATCCATCCCTTCGTATGTCACCGTCCCATACCAGTACATACCATGCATATGATCCGTAAATGATGCATTGACTCAATCAGTATACCAAATACAATCCACATAAATCCATGTAGCTGATAAAACAAAATTGGAACAGTTTATCAACTAAATATCCATGACAATATCCATGAAATTGACGAGACAAAACTTAATCGTTCGTCAACTTAAAATCCAAAATCCATTCATATAATTGACAGAAAATATGCAATTAATTCTTCAATTAAGTCCAGGTTAACTCCTATGTAAATTACAAAACTTATGTTTTAGTTTAGCAATTTAAGTCCAAAACCATCATCCAGTTGAAAACCATCATCCAATTAATTTCAGAATAGTGTATCTAATAATTCACCAATTTAAAGCAAACCTTTTACTCATGTAATTGCAGGAAAATTTATGTTTCAGCAATATAAAAATCCAAAGCATGCACAGGTCCATTCTGTTAACTAAAAGACTTTAATGTGCATCTAAAACATAAATTAGAAACATGTTATAATTCATTAAATTGCCATATTAGAGCAAGCAAGTAATTTCCTATCCTTAATCTACGTAATTGCAAAACGGATTTATTAATTCAACAATTATATTCCCGAGTGTGCACAGATCAAAATTTATTAAGTAAATGACCCTAATGTGCATTTAAAACAAGATTAACATCATGTTATAATTACTTAAGTCGCCCATTTAAAAAATTGAACAATTATTTTCCTTCCAACCGTTAACAGTATGTAAATTGTCTAAATTTCACACTGATCATTCCCTTCCTATAATAGGCTAACTTATGCAATTAGAGAGCTTAAGATCTCTTGAAATTACTTTTAAAATTGTAAGTTCACTCCCTGAAATAATTTAAAACTCCAAACATAGACCAAACAGTTCCCGGACAGCTCCAGATTGCAACCAAACGTAACCTAACCAAAGAGCCTTCTCTTGAAAATAATAGAGCAGGCTCTTTACACCATGGAGCATGCTCTATAAAAACTTAGAGCCTACTCTAGAAACTTAGAGCCTGCTCCATAAAAACTTAGAGCCTACTCTTAAAGGCTTAGAGCCTCCTCTGTCCAGTTTTGCTCCGTTTCGCCTTTCAGCTTCGTCTCTGGCTATTCCCAACCTTCGGTTCATCTTTAATACTGAGTTTAAGAATCCTATTTACACCCAAAATCATCCCCATGACTGGTTTTATAATCCGTTCAATCACTGAATTAAACTACGCAATTTAACTTTCCTCCAATCGTTAACAGTACTGAAAAGTTGTCTACTTTCCTACTGTTTAACACTTTAGCGTAAATGTATAAACTATGCAATAAAAGGTTTAAATACACTTGAATTTTAAATTAAGAACCCCAAGTGCCCTCACAACACAATTCGAAAGAATTAAAATCATCCAAACGGTGCCCAGAAAATCAGAAAACACTAAAATACGTCAAAATAGGAGAGAGCCTGCTCTTGAAACTTAGAGCAGGCTCTTATTTGCATGGAGCCAGCTCCATACCATCTTGGAGCCGGCTCTTGAAGAGTGGGAGCCAGCTCTTGGCTTCCTAGAGCCGGCTCTCTCCCTCTCTGTGAGCCTCCAGTCCATTCCAGCCTTGTTTCCGACCTTCTGCTTTGACTCCGACCACTTCCAATCCCTCTGTTCTTTCTTAAAAATGATCTTAGCAGTCTAATATATATCCAGTAGCATCCCAATGATTTGTTTTGGCAGTTTAAATTTATTTATGTGACTTAAAACCCCTACCGATTCATTACGCGTTACCACAAAACTTGAACTTCAATTTGCAAGCATACACAAGTCAATCAAGAATTGTTTTAGACAAATATATACACATACATATAATCAATTTGACATATAATACGCATGCTAGATCTAATTAATATTCAATTAAAATCCTAGAGACACCTAGGTATGCACAGAACACAGGCCAACGGGAGAGAGAAAGAACAGAACTTGCCTTTGCGGTTTTGGAATCAAAACCTTGTCGCCGTCTTCCTAGGTTTTTCCGGCGATCATGACTGCCGTCAAGCCTCCTACTACTCAACCTTCCCTTCTCCTATGACCAATCCTTTATCCATAGTTGAAACCCTCACTAAAGATGGTCTGTTATTGTCTCACAATTTACGCTCTGTTCCTCTCTATCTCTCTGGTACATGAAAAGGGTTTACATATTTTTTTAAAACCCTAAGTCAACATAATGATATATTTATAGGTTTAGAAAAACTATAATCCTAATTCTAATTTTAATCCAACAAAGAAAAAACAACCATAAAAGTTATAATGTAAGTCGGCTAAAAACGTGAGAATATATGTAACCCTAAAATTATAACCTATATTAAATTATGATTAATACCTCAAGTTTAATTATTAATAAATACTAATAATTAAAACTAACTCTATACACATATATATACATGTATATACTTCCATAGGTAAAACGGTACCCATTTACACTATCCAAATAGTCCGTTAATCATATCCAAGCCCAAGTTCGATTAAAAATAAAATAAAATAAAAACAATACATTTAATTTAATATTCAAATGCCACTTCATCACGCACACTTATAATTAAATAGTTAATTCATTTAAACAACAAAACAGGCAGCCACGTAACAAAAGTCAAGAAAACACCTAAGAATAATAAAATAAAAAATAAAATTCCAATTATGTCCTTTTTAAATTTAGGGGTATTACACCTACCGAAGTGACTTTTCCTCAAAACTCAATTTTTTTGAGATTCTCTGTCCTTTTTGGCTGACCGAAATGGCAGTCTTGGTCGACCTAAATGACTCAAACACAGCTGCCCTTCAGATTTTGTATCAGCACTGTTGCTCTGATTTCAAATGGTCATATCTCCTTTATTTCTAATCCAAATAAGGTAATTCTTGAGCCTAACCTCAGGGATTTTAAGTAAGATTTCCAATGGTACCAATGCCATTCTAAAATTCAATTCACAGTGAGAGTTATTCATATTTTAGTGAGATAGTGTCAGTTTTTGCTTAAACTGGGAATGGGCGTTTTGTGGGAATCTTGGCCAAAGTTCTTAGCACCTCTTGGAATGTTGTGAAATGATTAGATTAGGTTGTATGGACCTCATTTGACTTACTTGGAGTCAATTTTCTCTTTTTATGTGTAAATTAACCATTTTACCCTTGATAAACAAGTTTTGCCCATTTTGACCCTTATTTTTCCTTTTCATTCTCTTTAAGTTCCATGACTTCATGGAAGACCACATTGGTATCTTAGAGATGAGTTATATCTCTAGAGACCTTGTTTTCATCTTTCACTTCCACATCTCAGATCCGTTACTGGGTTAACTTTAGGTCATCACTGACGCACCGGGTTGTAAAAACTTGGGCCGTCACAGAGCGTAACACTCCAAATGAATATAATACACCCACATGCATTCGGTTGCCAAACTTTTATACTCATCATTATGAGATTAAGGCTTCAACCATCAATATGTGCCTCCTTTTTTATGGGTTGAGCAATGAAGAGCCTTATAAACATTTGGATGAGTTCTTGGAAGTTTGTTAAACCGTGAAAATCACGGATGTTCCAGAAGAAGTATTAAAAATGAAGCTTTTCCCTTTCACTCTTTGAGACAAAGCTAAATATTGGTTTAACAACTTGGGGCCAAACACAATCACCTCTTGGGCTCAATTTCAACACGAGTTCTTAAAGAAGTACTACCCCGTAAGTCGAACCAATTCCATGAGAACTTATATCCGTGAATTTTCCCAAGATGAAGGAGAATGCCTATATGAAGCATGGGAGCGTTTAAATGACTTGCTACGAAAATGTCCACATCATGACATTCCTAAGTCGTAATTAGTTCAATGCTTCTATTAAAGCTTATCTGATTCCAATAAGGGCATTGTTGATGCTTCATGTGGAGGCACCTACCTAAAAAGAAATGAAGATGAAATTTGGCATCTTTTTGAAAGAATGAGCGAAAACTCAATGCATAGATCTTAATCATCTAAGGGAGGTCGTCATTCAAATATGGGAGGGAAGAAAATTCTATGATAAATAGATAATTCAATGGAAATTGTCACCGAGATGAAAACTTTAACACAAAGGTTTGATAAATTCCTTTTGAGTCAAAATCCGACAAATCAATCATCTTATTTCTCCCATTATCCCAATGAAATGTGCATTACTTGTTCTAGCTACACTCACCATACTTTAAATTGTCCTCTTGGACAAATCATACCAAGTGAGTCTCAAGAATAAGCAAATGCCGCCTTCACTCATAAAGAGAATAACCTTTATTCCAATTCATACAATCCGGGGTGGAAGAATTATCCAAACTTTACTTAGAAAAATCAAGGAGACAATGCAAACCATCATCAAACTCAAGGTTACCCCTTCATCTCCAAAATCAAAATTCTCAAGGTTACCGTCCTCCATTCCATTCTCATTAAAATGTGAATCACTACTCTAATCCTCAAGCTTCCATTCTCAATCTTACTCCCATCCATCTTAAGTACCTATTAGGAGTCCTACTTTTAAGGACAAGGTTTTGGAAGCCTTGGGTGGTTTTTCAAAAGATAATCAATTGTTTCATTCTCATTCTCAATCAATTTCAAAGCTTGAAGCCCAAATCGGGCAAATAGTTAATTCGTTAAATGTGAGAAAGAATGATAAGTTGCCTAGCCAAGCTGAGGCCAATCCTAAGGTACACTATATGGCGGAATCACATCTTACATTGGGATGTTCTGGTCATGAGCAAGTTTAAGCCATTACTACCTTGAGAAGTGGTAGGAAGGTTGATAATAGGGTTGAGACACCAAATGAAGTTAGTGAACCGGTACAACCAAGTGGTTTCCCCCGTCCCATTCCAAATCCTATTCCTACTTCCTTGGATGCAAGTGGTTCCAAAAAGGGCCTACCATCATTATCGTCATCATCATCTCCCCAATTAGAGAAGCCTTATGAGCCAAAAGCTCCATTTCCTTATGCCTTGAGAGAAACTTCACCATTTAAGAGACAGAAGGGAAAAATTCATAACATGATGGAGGTTTTTAAGTAAGTTAAAATCATTCTTCCTCTTCTAGATGCTATTAGGCGAATTCCACCATATGCAAAGTTCTTAAAGGACTTGTGCACTCAAACGAGGAAGAACAAGGGACAAAGCCCTAAAAAAGTGCTTCTCACTGAGCAAATGAGTTCCATTATCAAGCTTAACACACCAACTAAGTTCAAAGACCCTAGTACTCCAACGATAACTTACATAATTGGGGACCATGAGGTCCATAGGGCTCTTCTTGACTTAGGCGCAATTGTTAACCTCATTCCTTACTCCGTGTATATGCAATTAGGATTAGGTCACTTGAAGCCAACTTCGGTAGTAATCCAATTAACCGATAAATCAACAAAGAAGCCTATGGGAATTATTGAGTACATCCTCATAAAAGTTGATAAATTCTACTTTCCGGTTGATTTTGTTATGCTTGATACCGAACCGGCCCCCAATCCCACCAATCACATTCCCGTCATCCTAGGAAAACCATTCCTTGCCACCACTAATGCAACTATCAATTGTAGATCCGGAATCATAGACATTTCTTTTGGCAACATGATGGTTAAGCTTAATATGTTCAATGCAAGCCAACATCCCATAGATGAAGACGAGTATTTCCTTGTGGTTGTTATGGAAAAAATCGTAAAAGAGAGTTTACCTTCTATTCTCTCAAGGAACCCTCTTGAGGCATGCCTTATGGAAATGTATGAAAATTATGGTTTTGACATGGAAGGCTCCATAAGTGAAGTAAATGCTTTGATGGACTTTGTGGCCACATTAGACTTCCCGCCATGGAAATACTCAAAATAACCTCTTCCTTCACTCTCTAGTACTCCAACGGTTTCATCTCTGATCTCTCCACCTACTCTTGAGCTTAAACAACTTCCATCTAATCTCTAGTATGCTATCTTAGGCCCAAAAGAGACTCTTCTAGTCATCTTTGCTTCAAATCTTGAAGATAACTAAGAGAATGAGCTTTTGGATGTTCTTAAAGAAAATAAAGAAGCCATTGGATGGAGTGTGGCTGACCTAAAAGGCATTAGCCCTTCCATATGTATACATCGCATACACATGGAAGAGGATGAAAAGCCATTTAGGGACGCTCAAAGGAGATTGAACCCAAATATTTAGGAAGAGGTCAAGAAAGAGGTAATGAAACTATTGGATGCGGGAATCATATACCCTATCTCTGATAGCAAGTGGGTGAGTCCAACACAAATAGTTCCCAAAAAGTGAAGAATTACGGTAGTGGAGAATCAGAAGGGTGATATAATTTTGAAACGCACCGCCACTTCGTGGCGTGTATGCATTGATTACTGCAAACTTAATTCTGCCACTAGGAAGGACCATTTCCTTTTGCCTTTTATTGATCAAATCTTGGAAAGATTGGCCGAGCAAAAATATTATTACTTTCTAGATGGCTACTCAGGGTATAATCAAGTGGCCCTAGACCCGCTAGATCAAGAAAATACCACTTTAACACGTCTATTCGGTACATTTACTTACTGACGGATGCCTTTTGGATTGTGCAATGCACCTGCCACATTCCAAAGGTATATGATGTCGATATTCTCGGACATGGTAGAAAAATACTTGGAAGTTTGCATGGATGACTTCTTAGTCTTTAGGTCATCATTTGATTCATGGCTCCAAAATCTCTCACTTTTTCTTAAAAGATGTCATGAGACAAATCTAGTGTTAAGTTGCAAAAAAAGCCATTTCATGGTTCAAAAGGGGATAGTGCTTGGTCATGTCATAACTAAAGAGGAATCGAAGTTGATAACGCAAAAGTAGTGCTAATTTTTGAATTGCCTCCACCTTCTACGGTGAGAGAAATCTGTTCTTATCTAGGTCATGTCGGCTTCTATCGCCATTTCATTAAAGACTTTAGCAAAATTGCTAGACCCTTGTGCAATCTTCTTACCAAGGAGACTTCATTTGTCTTTGATCAAGCATGTCTAAATGTTTTTCACAAACTTCAAACTCATCTATCATTCGCTCCCATCATGCAACCTCCAAATTGGTCATTACCATTTGAGATCATATGTGATGCCTCCGACTTCGCCATGGGTGCCGTCTTAGGGCAAAGGGTGGGCAAGCTTCCATGTGCCATATACTATGCAAGTAAAACCTTCTCGAGTGCTCAATTAAATTACTCCACTACCGAGAAAGAGTTACTTACCGTAGTGTATGCCCTTGATAAATTTCGGCTATATCTCTTAGGATCAAAGGTAATTGTGTTTTCCGATCATACCGCTCTAAGGCATCTCTTGTTAAAAAAAGAAACCAAACCGTGCTCAATAAGATGGATATTATTCCTCTAAGAATTTGACTTTGAAATCAAGGATAAGAAAGGCTCTGACAATGTCATTGTCGACCACCTCTCAAGGTTAATGATTGAATCTTCTCCAAATCTTTCAATTCATGATTCTTTTTTAGATGAGCAACTCTTCCACACTTCAAATGGGAATTTTCCATGGTTTGCTGACATCATAAATTATCTTGCGATTAGCAAACTTCCCATCAATTGGTCAAAACAAAAAAATAACCGATTCTTTGCAAACATCCGAAAGTACTATTAGGAAGATCCAATCTTGTTTAGATATTGCCCGGATCGAATCATAAGAAGATGTGTGCTGGAAAGGTAAATTCTGAGCGTTAAGAAGACTGCCCTTAAGGTTTTTCATCCGGAAGTACTATTAGGAAGATCCAATCTTGTTTTGTCATACTCTTGCATGTGGTGGACATTTTAGTGGAAAGAAGACTGCCCTTAAGGTTCTTCAAAGTGGCCTCTTTTGGCCCACTATCCATAGAGATGCCTATAACTTTTCTAAAATGTGCAGCCGGTGCCAAAATTGGGATCAATGTCAAAGAAAGACATGATGCCCTTAAATCCGGTTATAATTGTTGAAATATTCAATGTTTGGGCCATTAACTTCATGGGACTATTCCCAATGTCATATGGCTTTGAATATATCATTGTTGCCTTTGATTATGTCTTTAAGTGAGTTGAAGCTTGTGCTACTAAAACAAATGACCACTCCGTGGTAATTGCATTTATCAAATCTAACATCTTTACTCATTTTGGTATGCCAAGGGCAATTATTAATGATAGAGGAAAACATTTTTGCAATCTGTTTTTGAAGCAACTCTTCTTAAAGTATTCCGTCACTCATAAAGTTGCTACTCCCTACCATCCTCAAACAAGTAGGCAAGTGGAAGTTTTAAACCGGGAAATTAAACATATCTTAGAAAAAATGGTGATTCCGGACCGGAAAGATTGGTCTCGGAAGTTAAATAACGATTTGTTGGCTTACCGGTTGGCTTATAAGACTCCAATAGGCATGTCTCCATATAAACTTATTTATGGGAAGCCTTGTCAACTTTGGGTTAAGATAGAACATAAGGCTTTATGAGCAATAAAAAGGCCCAATTTTGATCTTGACAAAGCCGGAAAGAACCGTTTGCTTCAATTGAATGAGTTAGAGGAATTGAGACATGATGCCTCTGACAATGCTAAAATCTATAAGGCAAGGATAAAAGCTTTTCATGATAGCCGTATTGTGAAGAAGTCTTTTGAGCTAGGGCAAAAAGCGTAGCTCTTCAACTCTAAACTCAAATTCTTTCCTAGAAAGCTATGCTCTAGGTGGGATGGTCTATATAAGATCATTTCCGTCTCACCTTATGAAGCGGTTAAGTTTAAAAATTTGAAGGATGAAGGAACCTTCAAAGTGAATGGCCAAAGGTTGAAGCCTCACATTGATGGACAAGTTATTCAAAGAGATGTGGAAG